AGACTATATTCCAGAATTCGTTTTACGAATGGATATATTTAGTAGAAGGATATCGAGCCTCATATATCGAAATGGAGAGTATTTATTAGGAAGATGGGTGAAAATCACCAAGTTATGATGGAGGCGAGAGCGGGGGCAGACGAATGGATGTCATCACTGTAATTGATGACGTCTAGAAAAAAGTCGCTGAATTCCACAAGGCAAAAAAAGGAAAACAAAAAGCGACAAACAGGCATTTGAAAAAGAGGAGAATAGGTATCAATCTTCTTCTTCTTCTTCTTCTTCTTCTTCTATATTCTGTGTCTGTCCCTATCAAAACGAAGGCGATCATAACTCTCCACTATTTTCTATCCTTCGTAGCTAATAAATTTTGTCTTTTTGGTATTTCTCCTAAACATTGGTGATGGCAAAATATACACGTAGAAATGAGTTCTGCTCGTTTAAAAATGTTACTTATAAACCACTCGTTGTCAGGTCATATACATATACATATATATATATATATATATATATTCCAACCCCTCTTCATCGTGGTAGGGGCGGTGACAACGTGTTCCTGCGCGCGATGCGGTTAATTCAAGGCTCAACCCACTCTGGGTGAATGCCGTTACAAGACAAGAAGACACACACACACACACACACACACACACACACACACACACAGATATATATATATATATAAATTTGTAAAGTGCCTCAAAAGCCAATACCACGGGTTGACTCAAGCCTTGTGAATGAGATTGGGTAGACGGAACACTTGGGGTTCGTCAACGATAGCTGTGCTAGTACGAAGGTAGAGGTCATCATGGGCGAGGTCTTGTGCATGCTGGGCTTGCCGAAATTTGTAAACACTCTAGATGACACGCTCTCCCCAGAAACTGTAACTAAGGTCTGCTCAGCATAGTTGCAGTATAAACCACAGATGGACTCTGTGGATATTAAATAAACACAAATGTGCCTGAGCTAGTCGCCCTAGTCGACGGGTATCCTCAAATAAGAGTGACCAGCTATTATATATATATTTCAGGTAATAGATCCGTTGGTATATAATCCAGGTTAACCTAGTAATATCAAATATTAAAACTGATCCAGAAAAAGAGCTCAACGTATTTATTATAACGGAGTATATATATTACAGAGCAAAAAATCCCTCATTTGGCTACAGCCTATTTCTGTCGGCTGAAATAGGCTATACCCACATGAGGTAATTTCGGATTTTTTGCTATGTCATATATATATATATATATATATATATATATATATATATATATGTATAAAAACAGGATTTGACATTAAACAACCGTACAGGGTTGATATTTTAGAAAACCCACCTAACCATACCTAACCAAAATATACAAACTGTACAGGAAGGAAGAAGGGAAAACGTCGAAACTTGATAGACATTTGATATCAATCATCTTGTAATAGAGGCCCGAGAGCCACTCAAGTTAGATGTCTGTTGTATAATCGTAGGAGGGAGAAGTAAAGATTATGAGCTTACGTAGAATATACAAGAATCCCTCGAACAATGCGCATTTGATTAATGTGTTTTCGATTAGTGCGCTAAAATTATCATATACCAAAATGCGATGAGTTTATACGTAATCCTCGATTAGTGTACTAAGACAGTCTTCAGTTTAACCATAGTAATCGAAAATTAATCTTTTATACTTACCGATTAATTAAAATTTTCTAAAAATTTAAAAATGGAAAATGGCTATTTTGTTTGTCAAGTATTAAATACTTACAGTCGTGTTCAAAAATAATGTACGCTTATAAATAAATAAATTTTTATAATATAAGCCGATAATAAAAATACATATCTGAATATTTGTCTCTATTTAAATTTTTGGAATATTTTTTTTTTCATGTTTATTTTGAAGGTCTTATAAGGGAATTTCTGATGCTTTTTTAAAAAATAAAATTGGACGATTTAATTTAGATGTAGAAATTTACATTACTTGAAAAATATCGAAATATAAAAGATGTATGCATTTACTATAGAAAGATTATAAATAAAATTTTCTGGTTAAAATACTAATGATTAAGATATGTCTTGAAAATTTCTGAAAATATAAAATATCCATAACATAGGGTTCTTTTAAAAAAAAAATAAATTAAAACTATTCAAGTGAGCGCCACAGTCCCCCAATTTCAACCCAATTGAAAATTTATGGAATTTAATGAAAAGAAAAATGGAAGGCAGAGTCTTTAAAATATCGATGAATTAAAAGAAGATTTTATAGATATTTGGGATAATATCGATAAAAAGTTAATCTCTAAGCTAATTATGTGAAGAACATATTAATAATATTAATTTATAGGATTTTTATTGTAACTTATATGTAGCTATATTTTAAATATAAATTACGCAAATTAGGAATTAATTGTGAATGAGACTAAAATTTGAGGTACAAATTAAATCATTTTCGATCAGTTATATTCCATTAATGCGTTTTCGATTAGTACGTATCATTTAATGTACATATTAACCGCACTGATCGAATCGATTCCTGTATCATTGTTGTCTGTTGGCTTGAAAAATTTGAAATTGTTAATGTTCGAGCTTTTTGATTGATTAATTGATTCATTTCTTTTTTTTTCCGTTTGATCAAACTTTTATGGTTTATTACAACCCGAAACATTTTGGATTATAATTTTTTAAGAATCAAATGTTTCAAGATAGAAATTCTACAAAGTGTGGGGATGAGATTATTCCATTTCAAGGGTATTTGCGCGTAGGTGAATGTAATTAACCCAAATGAAATTTGGTCCTCTGATTTCTCATTCCGAACGGCTCTCTATTACCACATCGCACATTCGTAATGTGAGAGGAAGCATCCTCTCGGGCGTCTGTCTGTGCCATAAATTAGCGTAGCTTGGAAATAAGCTATCCGGGTAGAACTTCCTTCAGGACGGCTCGCCTATGTGTACGTAGCAGAGCGGATCTTAGCTGCGAAGGTCTGAACTGGTGGAACAAGCAAATGTAACCTGCCAGAACATTTTACATAGAAAATGGTGATAGAGTAGCGAGGGGCCTTCGACGCTGCGTCTGTGGGAGAGGGATGAAGAAAAGATGTTTTCTGCCATATTCCTTCAGGACACAGGCGAGCATAGATCATCATCATCATCATCATCATCAGACCCCTGACTAAGTATGGTCGTAAGTTTTCGCGTGGCTGAGCACCTGACTAATTCCCTCCACATCTCTGCGTTGAAAACTGGAGAGGTATTCATTCATGCTTAGCGTTTCTCCGGCAAGTAGACCTGGCGGAACCCATCCCTCTCCAGGTCACGTCTTCCTTTTCTTAAACATCTGTGAATTGCTATGACTGTTATTGGGAAAGTTTATGGAGTGGTTTCTCCTGGACTTCTCCACGAATATTGAATCCTATTCTTAAGCCGAGTTCGAATTCCAGTCGAATCCATTGCATTCACTTACGTGCTAATACCCTTGGGAAATGTATGAATCCTCGTCTTCTCCCACCCCAGCTATGCATAAATAGCAAGACAGACCGGGTTCTATGGCAACTGGTCTACCGCAGAAAGAAATAGCAACCTACTGCGGGAAAAAATCTGCCTCGTCAGTCATGTATCGAAAGATACATGATCGCATAAGCGTGTATCACGCATGGCATTAAAAAAAATTCTTACGCACATTCCCCTACCAAGG